ATGATGATGGTGATGGTAATGATGAAAGTTTCAGAAAAGTTCCAGTACTTTGCGTATGGACATGAATGGCTTTCTATATTATTATTCTACAAATAACTTGTTACACATACATACACACACACACACACACACACACACACACACACACACACACACACATANATAGATACATGCACACACATACAAAAATACACAAACGTACACACACATACATAGATACACAAACATACACACACATACATAGATAGATACACAAACATACACACACATACATAGATACACAAACATACACACACATATACACGTACGCAAGTTGATAAAAAAGAGTTGAATGTTAGATGATGATTAGCATGCAAGTCCAAACATTCGAGCAGAACTTTATTGGATAGTTATGCAATGTCTCCCTACACAGACACACACACACACAAACAAACATACACACAAACTCTATATTTATAGTAACAAGTTATAGTTACTAAATGTTGAAACAATCAAAATAATTACCGATAAAATGAAAATATTTGTGTGCGTGTGTATATGTGTATGTGTGTGTGTGTGCGTGAGTGTTTAAGTGTGTGTGCGTGTGTGTGTGTGTGCGTGAGTTTGTATTGTATGTGTGTGTGCGTGTGTGCGCGCGCGTTTAACCTGAGGCTTTTATAAAGGACACGAGTTCTATGTAGTGCTCTTGTATTAAGATCGATAATAATTTGGGTTGGGACGATGATGATGATAATTATGATGATGATGATGGTGGTGGTTCTAGTTGTGATGTTGTCCTTGTTGTGATGATGATGATGAGGAGGAGGAGGAAAAAGAGGAAAACGGAAGATGATGAAGAATTTAAAAAAATATAATGATGATGGTGATGGTTATGTAGATGAAGATGACGACGATGGTTTCTTCATAGCTATTATTTCTGTCACGGTGAATTACAACGTCATCATCTTAATTATCATCGTTTTATCCCCACCATCATCACCAATATTATCATCATCGTCGTCGTCATCATCATCTTCACCTTTGATGTGCAATGGTGATTTCATGATTGAAGTTGAAGAGCTTATATAGAGGGAGAGACATAATTCACTAATATGTTACGTCAGATTACAATACAAACATGCACACGCACACGCACACACGCACACATGCACACACACACACACACGCAAAAATAAAGGTAAACTCATATACACATGTACACGTCAAAATGTTTTTACGTGCATTTACTTATAATGGAATTTTATAAAAACTTTTTGTAAAAAGTTGGAAAGATTGAAAAATGTTATCTGCGGTGATGATTATGAATGTAGGTGATGATGTTCTGGTGACAACAATGATGAAGATTCTGCAATAATATGATGATGGTGGTGATGATGAAGATGAGGACGATGATGAAGAAACAAAAGTTGAGAACCCTTTTATAGACGTTTCATCTCGATTAAGGTTTCAGTATGTTGTCTGTCACTCACTCACTCACTTACTCACTCACTCACTCATTCTCACTTATCCACTCCTTGCACGTTCTTAAAACTAGGTAGGAGTTTGAATGCATACGTGTAAATATGTACAAATTTGTCATGGATGACAATTTATTATATTTTCCAGTTTATACTTTTTAGATCATTCCATTTATACAGTGTCAACAAAATTTACCACTAATTTAAGAACACAAACGCACTCAAAGTTTGCAATAACCAGTACGAAATCGAATTTTATATAAAAATTTATCCGTACACACACAAACACACACACACGCACACGCACGTACACACACAGTCATACACACACACACACACAGTCATACACATACACAGTCACACACACACATAGACGCACACGCATAGATACATTATAAACCACTACTTGCACGCATGCTTGGATTCCTAGGCAATCATCCAATTTCAATTGAGGCAACGATTACGCAAGAAAATACGAAGTAGTAGTAGTAGTAGTAGTAGTATTACTGTGTGTATAAGCGCATGTGTTTGTGTGTCTTTTTGTAAACTTTCGTTATATGTGTGTGCGCATTTGTGTGTGTGTGCGCGCGCGTGTGTGTGTGTTTGTCTGTGTGGTATATGTGTCAAGAAGAAAAAGTGTCAATTAAGGTTCATCTAATCATAATCATTGGTGGTAGTTTGGTGAAAATTGTTGGTCTGTTGTTTGTTGGTTTGTTTTTGTCTTGGTTTGCTTTCGTGTTTGGGGGTGTTTGTTTGTATGTGTATTTTTCATTTAGTTTGTATGTGTATTTTCATCTTTTTGTTTTTGTGACTATATGTATATGTAAGTTTCCATGGAAATTCAAATCGGTTGCATACTACTTTATGAACGGGCAACTAATTGACAACAACAGACATAATATGCAAACATAATCAATCAACCAATCACTCAATCAACCAATCATTCAATCAACTAATCAACCAACCATCCTACCAACCAACCAACCAACCAGCCAATTAGCCAACCAATTATTTTTTTTCAGGCTCCACAAAATTGTAAGTCACCGTAGAAGACGTCAAGAAGCATCACGTGATCTCGTTGTGACGTCACGTAACAACCTACTGACGTCATCAGTAGTTTGGGTGGGGGTGTACTTCAGCTGCTGGGTTCAATGGTAATAGTAATAATACCATTAGTAGTGTTAGTAGTAGTAGTTAGTTGTGTTTTAAACTGTAAATTTGTTTTCAATTGATCCAGTCCGTCGATGTGTCTATATGTGTCTGTTTATATAGGTTTTAGTGACTTTGTTACAGTGTTTTTATAAAGTGAATTTTTTCGAATTCTGACTTTGTTACTATGTGTCTTCGTTAGATGAGTTTCTTCGAATTCTGACTTTGTCATTTGGTAGGACTGCAATGGCGTGTTGTTGAATATTTATTGTTGCTGGAAGTCTTGGGATTCTGCAATCCTTAGATTGTGTAGATTGGATTGTTGTTGTAGTTGATTATTTCTACGTCACTGTCAAGTATCTCTGCGATTATTCTCCTGCTTTTTATGCTTCTCTTTTAGGTTATCCTTTATTGCTCGTGACTGAACACGCATACACACACACACAAACAAACACAAACACATGCACAAACACACATAAGTATAGTACGTGTTGTGTGGTTTGCTTGTTAGGACTAACAGGTTAATGACAACGTTCATGAAGTTGGTTGCATAACGTGACGGCCAATTTGCCAGATATCGTTCGAAATCTTCAGTGTCACATGGGTTTTCCTCCTCGATTAATTGCTGGTGCTGCTACTACTACTACTACTACTGCTGCTGTTGCTACTACTACACGACAACGACAATGATTACGACTACTACTACTACTACTACTACCGCTACTGCTACTACCACTACTACTACTACTACTACTACTACTACTACTACTACTACTACTACTACTACTACTACTACTACTACTACTACTACTACAACAACTACTAATACTACTATGGTTCGAGTAGTAGTAGTGGTAGTAGTAGTAGTGTAGTTGTAATCATAGTAGTGGTATGGTAGTAGCAGTTGTTTCAGTAGTAATAGTTGTAGTAGCAGCAGTAGTAATAGTAGTAGTAGTATGTTGATAAAAGTGTGGGTTCAACATCTAGCCTTAGGGTGAAAACTGGGCGTACAATGGACGTCATGACGTAAGAATGTGTATATGCTTGCGTGTACACATGTGTACAACAATGCGTGCACGCAAGCACTTTGCCTGTGTGCACATGCATGCATGCACACCACTGATTTTATTTTAAAATTCTGCATTCGTTTCCATAACAAACTCCATTAATTTTATCATGCGTCACATCAAAAAGTTTCTCAACCTCCGAATGCGATAATGTTTTAACTCAACAACACCACTGCTATCTGCCGTTAACATTTGCACATCCGTTATTAATTATTATAACAAACGATAGTTAAATTGTTAACAAATCAGCATTGAATCACAGATAGGAACTGAACTATACTACCTGACACAAACACAGATAGGAACTGAACCATACTACCTGACACAAACACAGATAGGAACTGAACTATACTACCTGACACAAACACAGATAAGAACTGAACTATACTACCTGACACAAACACATATAGAAATCGAACTACACTACATGACACAAAAGTTGATTTGCAAGCGTTAGTGTGGCCATACGGCCTCATAAGCAGAAGCATTTATGACACCATCATCTTGAAATTCTCTGCTTTCAAACCTGGTAAAGTTTATAATAGAAAAAATCCGAACGACCATAACCGCTAGAAAGTAGCACGGCGGCGTAACATTATTACCGTCAGAACATTAAAAACAAATACTGGTATAATTCCAGATACTCCAACGATCATCATCGTCATTCACAATATGATTATTATCATTAAGTAGGAAATAGTCATAAATATTATTTTATATCATTATTTTATATCATTATTGATATTTAAACGATTATTGCTTGCTTAGCTCTCGTTCCGACGTATCTAAATGTAGTTTGTAGCAAGAAACCAATAGCAAGCAGGTAGATGGATCAATTATGAATAAAGGGACCGACCCCTCATGAGATTGGTCGCGTTTTACTGACTACACAGGTAGAGACAGGTGCTTAAAAAGTTATTTTTAAAAATGAAACAATAACATTATTCAATTATAACATTAATAATATAACATTACATTAATAACATAACATTACATTAATAACATAACAATAAAATTAACAACAATAATAATTATTTCATTAACGAACACGCAGCAATAACATCAATAACATGAACAAAGGCACATGATGAATGAGTAACAATTGAAACATGATTAATGTCATTTCTAACTATCAACCAACTCAATACGGACAGAATCAAATTTAATCGGATGATTGAAAGAGTGAACAAACAAACGAATGAATGAATGAATGAATGAATGAGTAAAGTTTGTGAAGTGCTGTAATTAAAGTTATACTAGTACCAGGATTGTATTGTACAATTACTGCAACAATAATAATATGGCGCCACATAATCTCTTTGGTTTCTCATTCAAATTTGATGCCCTGAGCTAGAGGGAGCTCTCTGCCGTAGTTTATGGTGCTGCAATTGAAAAGTCGTAATGTCAATCAATCAATCAATCAATTAATCAATCAATCAATCAATCAGTCAGTCAGTCAGTCAGTCAGTCAGTCAGTCAGTCATTCAGTCATTCAGTCAGTCAGTCAGTCAGTCAGTCATTCAGTCAGTCAGTCAGTCAGTCAGTCAGTCAGTCAGTCAGTCAGTCAGTCAGTCAGTCAGTCAGTCAGTCAGTCAGTCAGTCAGTCAGTCAGTCAGTCAGTCAGTCAGTCAGTCAGTCAGTCAGTCAGTCAGTCAGTCAGTCAGTCAGTCAGTCAATCAATCAATCAATCAATCCAACCAACCAGTCAACCAGCCAATCAACCAATTAACCAACCAGGTAGATCTTCTCATGTATTGCTTCCAGGAATCGCTTCCAGATTCTCTCCCTCCACCAGTATGCTTCTCACCACCTTCGAAAAATATGTATCATCATCATCATCATCATCATTACGTTCTTTATCATCATCATCATCATCATAACTCACCAAATGCACCACCAATCTCGGCACCATTGGTTGGAATGTTAACATTCACTATGCCACAGTCGGAACCTTTGGGGCTGTTGGATCATCATCATCGTCATCGTCGGTATCATCATCATCATCGTCAGAATCATCATCATCTCCACTATCATCATCATCATTAATATCATCATCACCACCACCATTATTATCATCATCAATATCATCATCATCATCAGTAGCAGTAACAACAACACAAGAACGAACGAACCCCAGCCAGTTGTATATGGCTCCAACATCCTTTGTAAAGAGACTGCTTGAAAGTCCCTGCTCAACCTCGTTGTTCCATCTTATCGCCTCATCCAATGACTAAAAATGGTGAAGATGATGACGTTAATGCCGATGATGATGGTGATGTAAGTGATGGCGAAGATGATCAGAAGGAAAATAAAATAACGATAATGAAAGGAGAAAAAATCATCGTCATCGTCGTCATCATCATCATTGTAACCACAATCATCATTATCATAACCCCCTTCATCATCATCATCACCTTAACTTTCAGAACGTAGACAATTGGAGCGAATGTCTCTTGGTGAACAATGGGTGAATCGTGAGATAAGTTGGTAACAATTGTTGGCTCGACATAATTTCCTGGTCTGTCCATGACCTAAATAATTTCAACATCATCATTACCATTATTCTTAATCATCATCACCATTATCCTTCATCATCATCATTATTACCACAACCTTCCCGCCAAATTCGATTTTCCCGCCAAGAGAGATGGCAGTCTGAATAGCAGATTGAAATTGTTGGACACCTTGTTTGCTGTGCATGGGACCGTACAACGTGTTGCCTGGTTAGTTGATTGGTTGATTGATTGGATGAGTCATTGATTGAAAGAGTGGTTAGTTGGTTAGTTGATGAAATAAGTGACAGATTGACTGATTATTTGGTTGATGGAACAAGTGATTGATTAATTGATTGATTGATTGGTTGGTTGATTGATTGGTTGATTTGTTGATTGATTGGTTGTTTGATTGGTTAGTTGATTGGTTGGTTGATTGATTGGTTGGTTGATTGGTTTGTAAATTCATTAAAATGTCGATAAAATATCATAAAGACTGTTTGTTGAGTTGATTGATCTTCAAAAGTCATAGTAAATTGCCATCATCATCTTCTGCTTTTTCATAAAACTACTTATACTACCCCTACTACTACTACTACTATTACTACTACTACTACTATTACTACTAATAATAATAATAATCATCATCATCATCATCAAAACCTTCCAATGGATCGCCAGTCCTTAGGACAACTTGTTCGTATGATTTCTTCAATCTCTCAACTACCGCATCGTGAATCTTCTCGTGCAAAATCTTTGATGATAATGACGATGATGATGATGACGATGATGATGATCGTAATGACGTTGAGGTAGAATTAAAATTGCGCCAGTTACGATTATAACCATCATGATATAAAAGATCACAACTGACAACGAAAATGATAATGAGGCAAGGCGATAGAATACTGACGAATAAATTATGATAATGAGGTAACGCGCTAGAAAACTGATGAATAAATTATGCTAATGAGGTGGCCTACCAGCCTCCTAGTTGTAGTGCACCTCTGGCCGGCTGTACCCATGCAGGCGAACAGCGCCGCCCTAACGACCATATCTAAATCCGCATCTTCGTTTACTTGGGTAAATATATTATGAATAATAATTATAACTTATAAAATAATTATATCGTTATTATTATTATAATTATTAATATTAATATTATAAATAAAATGATTTGTCTAAAAATACTGACCAATGATTGCGTTGTTGCCTCCAAGCTCGAGCAAACGGCGACCTAAATCAGCATAGAACATTTAACTCTAATTTAATCTCACTATCGTGACGGTTAGCAAAGTTAGAAATGAATTAGAAAATCTCTTGAAGTAATAGCTTATTAATCAATTAATTAATAAATTGATTGATTGGTTTAATATCTAATTAATAAACACATCAATCAAGATATATCAACATAGATATCTATCTATCAAACAATCTCATTTGAAAAGATATGATAAAGGAACTAACTAACCAAACCTCCTTGTAACTTCAACTGCAACTTTTTGTCCTATCTAGTGTAATTAATCATTTAATGAACGTATCATTCAAAATTATAATACATTTTTAATTTTTTTTTTACAAAAATTTATACGATCTTTGGTAATATAAAATATGGTTGGCAGGCAAACCGACCGAACAACTTCCTGTAAAAGAAACTAGGGGAATCCTGGGGTCCTTGGCCATTGCTTGCCTGTCGTTTCATCATCACCGTCATCATCATTCTCAGACTTCATCGTCCTCATCATCATCATAAACATCATCGTCATCATCTTCATGGATACCATCATCATCAACACAGACATCACCATCATCGGATACATCATCAAAGTGGTCCTACCCAACATCAGCTCCTCCACATATCATGGAACAAATGGATGGTGGCATGTTATTTTTCTCTAGTACCTCTTGTACTACTCTGTATGCATGTGTGCGCGTACAACATGTGTGCGTGTACAACATGTATGTATGTGTGTGTATGTATGAGTGTATGTGTGCGTGTGCGTGTGTGTAAAGTTTGTATATTATAAACATACAGTACTAAAACCCACACACACAATCACAAAATCACACACACTCACAAACATAAACACACACACACACACATACATACACACACACACACAGCAAACAAACCAGCAGATCTATACAATTGAATACAAAACATTGGAGTAAGCAAGAAAGTACCTACTTGGTGACAGCAATGCTCGTTAGTGGGGTGGTCGGCGCGCCTTTCCTACGCATCAACAATGACGAAATTATTATAATTAGTTTGGGTGAATTATTATAATTAGTTTGGGTGAATTATTATAATTAGTTTGGGTGAATTATTATAATTAGTTTGGGTGAATTATTATAATTAGTTTGGGTGAATTATTATAGTTAGTTTGAGTGAATTATTACAATTAGTTTGAGTGAATTATTGTAATTAGTTTGGGTTAATCATTAAAATTAGATACACTATTGGGTATCACACTTTAGGATAAAATAATTAGTATTGTTAAAACAAACAATCACGGCCAGCCAAACAAACACCACGTAAAAATGACAAAAGTAAAAATAAAAAAAAACATGAGAGTAAAATGAAAACGAAACCAGGGAAAAACCCGACCATAACGTGGTGTTTCCACAGACAAGAGCAATGGCATTATTCCAGCCAAACACAGCAGCTGGAAAGTTGAAGGCAGTTATCACCCCAACCACACCCAGTGGATTCCAATTCTCCAGTAAAATATGTTTCGGCCCTAACAGGTATGACGATGGTGATGGTGACGATGATGGGATAATAATGTTAATAATAATAAAAAGTCCTCTTGATAACGATACCGACTTTCGGATGGAATGATTTTTCCGGAGAACATTCTAGAAAGGCCAACAGCATAGTCACAAATGTCAATGTACTCCTGGATCTCACCTGCACCTTCGGACAGTATCTTGCCCATCTCTAAAGACACCTTTGGGCAGCGGTCAGTCGGTCAGTAAGCCAACCATCTCCAGCCAGTCAGTCAGTCAGTCAGCCAGCCAGTCAGTCAGCCAGTCAGTTAGTTAGTAAAAAAATCATTTAAACAAACAGTCTCACCTCACATTATTATCATCTTCACATCCACACATTTTAGTTATTTTCAGACATATCTTCTACTTGTTTTACTCACCAACTTTCCGAGCAATTCTTTCTTATCTCTCAAAGCGTTGCCCAACTGTCTAACTATTTCTCCTCTTTGGGGTGCTGGTACCTTCATTAACATATTATAATATAGTTTTCATAATTAATAAATGAATTAATTAATTAATAACGTAATATATATTTTACTTTATTTATTTAAATGTTTCAAAATAAACAAAAGTAGACGCAACTACAAAAAATTATTGTAACTACGCATGTTCAAATAACTTTTGAAAAATTTCAGAGGTAAGCAAAATTCATCAATTTATATTTATTCAATCAATGATGAAAAATTACATTTAAACTAAATTTAAATCGAAATAAAATAAAATTTGAAATAAAACGTAAAAAAATCAAACCAACATCAGCCCAATCAGCCCAAGCTTTCTGAGCAGCAGTGATACAATTGTCATAATCCTCAATATTTCCCTAGGAATGAAAAAAATTATTATAAAATGATAAAATATGATGAATTTATTAAAAATAATTATTTAAATTATTAATAATATTATATTTTATTAATTTTAAATTACAATTTAGCTAATATTAACATTATTGAATTAATATTTATAAATATAAGTCTTTAACTTATAAAAGAACCAACCTCAGTTACTCTAGCAATCGGTTGATTGTTAGCAGGACATTCTGATGTGACAACCTTCATATTGTAAAGGTTATTTTGTTAAGTTTATAAAATAAGTTAAAATTATAAAGATAATATTAATTGCAGTATAGTATAAATAAATTCTATAAATAAATATTAAAGAATCTGTTATGATTTGAACAACTTGATATACAAATAAATTTTAAATGCATAAATCTGTATCTAACTCCAAAATCTCCATCTGACGTTGATCAGACAAATTAGCCAACACTTTTAGTTTTATATATTTATATATTTAGAGAAATTTGAACAATTTATTTTTTATTTAGTTTTTGCTAGTAATTTGGTCTCAGAAAAAAATTTAAACCTTTCCATTTCCAGTCCACTTGCCATGGAAAACACCAGGATTTTCGGATTGCAATCCCAAATCTTTCAGCCAGGAATATTTGGGATTCTCAATCAATAACAATGACGATGAGGACATAGTGACTGAGCAAGTTCTCAGGTAAGGATTCGGCGAGAGTAATGTTGATCTAGCAGCAGACGCGCTTGATGACAACCGTAAATTTTTTACTCCCTGGTTTATTAAATATTTGGAGAATGTTTTGCGGGAAAAATTTCTACAAATTTCTAAAACTAATCGGCAAGAAGGCATCACTTTCAACCTAAGACGAAGGGAAAAAGCAAAACGAAGTCTCAGATCGATAAAATGGGATCGCTATTGGATGTAGGGATGCTCTAGTATGTTGTATTTAAAATTCAATGGTGCACCATTGAATTAATAACTCAATGGTTATACCAATGAATGGAAAGTACAATGGTTTTCAGGGTTTTAGCTGTTTAAAATCATTAATTCAATAAATTCTATATACTATATATATAGAATATATACTATATAATAATGTATATATTCTACATACTTATTAATTTGCATGTAATTGATTACTTATATCTGATTGCGCGCGTAATTACTCAAGGGCGGATCTAGACAACTTTGACAGAAGTGGCCAAAATTTTAAAAATGTTTAATTATAAAACTCAATTGTACTAGTGTGGCTTAAATTAGAATAGTGATCATTTTTTGGTTCATTACGTAAATTTTTGGTCGATTTTTGACCGAAAACTGCGTTTTTAATGAAAATATTGCTCACAACGTGTGCCTTTATTTCAATTTTTCTCAAATATGAATTCATACCATTTTATTGTTTTTGCACTTTCAAGTTTGTTTTTTAGTTATAATGATTAATTTGATCAGTTTTTTTCTTATTATCATACAAACCCGCATAAAAATTACAGCAATAGCCGTATAGCAGTAGCAGTAGTATAGCAGCAGTAGTAGTAGTAGTAGAGGTAGTGCTAGCAATAGTAGTAGTAGTTGTAGTAATAGTAGTAACATAAATAGGATAGGATGGTACTTGCATTTGGTTATTTCAGAAAATATTTGTTTATGGTTCTAAAACGTTACCGTTATACAATACAAACAAACATTGTATAATGTACACAACATATAAAAATACGTGGTATACACAATACACGCATATACGTGTGTGTATATGTGTGTATACATGTATATGTTTGTATATTTATGTATATGTCTGTATATAAACACATGTTTGGAAAGTAAAATACACGTTAACCATCCATTCAACATTTTTTAAGAAGTTGTGTCGTGCGTTGTTGTACATATATATTAGTGTAGGATTTTTAGAAATGCGGTCAAATTAGAATAATAATTTATGATGAATATTAAAAAAATGTTAACACAAATTTTGTTTTATTACGATAATTCGAAAATATAAAGACTTTAATGTATTCATAAGATATTTCTATCGATTTAATGTTTTTATGTGTTCATAATTCAAACAGTTAGGCTACTGACCAATGTTATTGTTGCAGATACTGTTTCAAATATAATTGAACAACAATTGTAAGAGTTTGTAAGAGCAAAATGTACTTGGAGAACTAAAACTTAAATTAAACCAATATGTACTTATTGTACTGCCCTTATTCTAGTCGAATGCGCTGTAAGTACAACAATGGAATTCTAAATACTCTTTCTTTGGAATAAAATATTATAAATCAATAAAAATACATAACAAGTGTGTGTGTGTGCGTGTGTGCGTGTGTGCGTGCGTGTGTGTGCGTGTGTGTATGTGTGTCTGACGTGTGTGTGTGTGTGTGTGCGTGTGTGTGTGTGCGAGTAATGATTGATATGGCAGGCTTCTTATTTGGAAGTGGTTTTGCAATTTGAAATATAATTGGTGTTTAGTTATTGATTTTATTTAAATGTTGATGACGACGATTCTTACTATAATAATAATTATTATTATTTACAATGAAATTTCTCCCAATAAATTCGTTGAAATGAATTTTTTAAATCATTGAAAATATTCAAATATCATTCATGATTCATTATGATGTATGATTCATTCATACATATATATATATATATATATATATATATATATATATATATATATATATATATTTATATATATATATGTGACGCATAGCGCTATGCGAACTTCTTATCTGCTATTAATTTTCGCGTGGAAAGCTTGGTTGGTAAGTGTATGTGTGTGTGTCTGTGTGTGTGTGTGTGTGTCTGTGTGTGTGTGTGTGTCTGTGTGTCTGTGTGTGTGTGTGTGTGTGTGTGGTGTGTTTGTGTGTTCATACATACAAACAGATACAAATTTACAATTAATATTTATTTCATAAATTTCAAATAAACATTCTTTTCTACATTCATCTTTACATCCATCTTAAATTTCATTCAATCATTTGTTTTTCATATCCACTCATCTGCTCAACTATTTATCCATTTATTATTCCTTGGATAAAACAGCAATTTGTTTTGATCATTCATTCACTCACTCACTTATTCATTCATTCATTCGTTCGTTCGTTCATTCATTCGTTCGTTCGTTCGTTCGTTCTTTCATTCATTCATTCATCATTCATTCATTCATCCACTCCATAGGCAGCAGAATATGAACAACATCGTCATAAACCGTGGTGATAGTTTGGTGGAAGACAATTATGGTGGAAATAATAGTAATAGTAATAATAATAATAACAATAATAACAATACCAACAAGAGCAATAATAATTCATACAATGACGTCATCATAACCAGAGTAAAGTTAAGAAAAAAATCTAGAAATACAGGGAAACGAGAGAGAATAAGGAAAGATACTCGCCCCAACGGAAACAATTACAGTGGCAATGACATCAACAAAAATGGTATGAATGTTATTTCAGACGACAACAATCACATTAACAACTATAACTGTAATAGTGGCATAGATATTAACATCTATAGCCTTAGTAACACCTGTGAGAGTTGTTCCGACCACAACAACAACAACATAAACAACAACAACAAAACCGACGACATCAACTACAACATAGATACTAGCTTATTTCACGACTTTGCCACAAATGAAAACTTACTAGACAAATACATCAACAGCATTAGGAATCTCGACAAACTTGATGGCGACATCAACATCGAGAACATCAATCTCTATCACATCAACTCTCTCTCAGACGACATCAACGATCAAAATTATCAAGAATATCTCCTTACCGATAACAACATCAACAACATCAGTAACATCAACTGCACTAACGACAACAACATCTTTAACAACAATCACAGATTCTTTCAAGACAACCCAAAAATAACAGAATTCAATAACATTCCTATTCAATCACTGTCTAGTACAAACGCATCTGCTAATTCACAATTCCTTAACAACAATAACAACAATAATAATAACACTAATAAAAATCGCAATAACATTAATAATAATAATAATAACAACAATAATAATAATAACCGTATCGATAACCAATATTTCGGTATTCGTAATAGCCTCTCAAAAAATATCTGCATCGTTAGTAGTAGCGCAAGCGGTAGTTTGAACAGTAACACTAGTAGTGGCAGTATCATCGTAGGTAGTAAATGCAGTAATTCGCGATGTATTTTACAAATGTCGCTTACAAATGAAGGTTATAGCCATGACCAGACTACAGAATTCAGCAACGCTAAACACAAAAACTCTTCATCATCATATCATCAACATCATCATGGTAATATTTCAGTCACTTCTCCTAATCATTATCATCAGAAGCAGCAGCAGTTGCAGCAGCAGTTGCAGCAGCAACATCATCCATCTACTCTTTCTTCTTATCATCATCAACCTCATCATAAAATTCTGAATGGCTATACGGGCTCGTTGTCTATAGACAGTCTCAGGAGTTACGGGGAAGATGTTAAGAGTCGATCGATTTTTAAGAACATCTCATCAACCATGAATAAGGACAACAATAATGATAATAATAATAATAACATCAACAACAACGAACACAGCAACACAAAAAGCGTCAACACCGAAAATACTAACAACAACGTAAACTTTGTAACATCTAGTTGCTTAGACATCATATCTGGTTGCTTAGACAACATATCCGGTTGCTTAGACAGCAGAAATGTATCAAAGAATAAAAATTTTGCTTGTTTCTCGAGTGCAAATGAAACTTATAAAAAAAATTTCAATACTTTTAATGGCAGTATATTAAGAAATATTCTCTGTAGTGGTTATAATAAAAATCATGATACTACAGTTATTACTACTGCAGCAGGTACACCAACTACTACATCTACTACTATTACTCTTACTAATACTACGACAACAACTACTACAAATACTTCTACCACTACTACTAATAATAATAACAACAACAATTACATTAATAACAACAACTACTACAACAACATCATTAAAACAAATGTTGACAACAACGTTGACATTACAACTAATGTTGACAACAATGTTGATGGCACTACACTCATCAATACTATCAACAGCCCAGACCTCAACAAACAAATCCGCACCGATTTTGAAAACAGAGACTTCAAAGATCCGTACCGTGTTTTGCCTAAGCTTAATCTCGCTAATAAGAAAACCACTGCTCCCGTCAAAAGCAAGCGAAAACACGACAACAACAGCAGCAGCAGCAGCTACAACAACGACAAAACGAGTCCATACAACATCAATAACGACCACCACACGCGTTTCTATCATTCGCTAACTCAAATGACCAAATCTTCAGACCTGGATAACATCGACGAAACACTTCTTTACAACTTCATTGAGTCTGCCATCGCGCAAAATGACATCTTAGCACTTGCTAATTTGAGATTGCTCATTTCGTCTAAGAGGAAAAACGCCAGAAAAAGACTGATGAACATATGTCGGCTTATTAAATCTGTCAAACGTTCAAAAATCGTGACAGATAAGAAATTAGAAAAAGCTTATAAAGAATTAACCGAAAGTAAGAATCGAGTCAAGGAGTTTTTGTTATAAATTTCTTTTAATGTTACGTCTTTGACAAGTTTTATACAGTTTTTAGCACATTTTGCAAGATTTCTTTATTTATGACCATTAAAAAAGTGAAAAAATATCTTGTTATTTCTTAAACAGTTTCTTATTATTTTGTGAAAAGATTTCCGCGCAAAACCAGCCGAAAAACATCAATAAGACTAATAAAGTTGTTGAAACTTTAAAAGATTGCATACATTAAGGTTTATCTCCTTTTGTTCTATATACGTAGTCACGTAGTTAAACCGCATACTCAGAATTGTATTAAGGAAGATTTATAAGCGCCTTTAGTTTCGTGTTATTCTATGATGCAATTTGTTGAATAAACGATGCTTCAATCGGCTCTTGAAAACATCACAACTGATACCGGTAACATCTTTCAAATCCGCCGGCATTGAGTTCCAGACGCAACTGAAAACGTCTTTGGACATCACAATAATTATTTGCCTATAATTCATAATTAAATCTTGCAAATCATATTTAAGCGGATTAAAAGTGAACATTAAAACTAAATTGTGGGTTGGTACCTTCAAAGAAATTGATTTAAACATTTGGCATCTGTTTTCAATCAATGTGCGTTCTGTGTCTACAATTCTTTCAAGAACTTAATTAAACTTCAAAATTAATGGTCAAAGAAATTGTTAGATTTGTTAAGACGCCGGTTTGATTTGATGTATTTTAAACAATTTTTTGATAATTATTAGGATATTATAATTAATTATATAAATAAATAATAGTTGCGTTGAGGACTTTCAAGAAAATTTGTTATAGTGATTAATATACACAAATAACTATTATAAAGCAAATATTACTGAGAAATAAGTTTATCTCTGTAGAAACATGCTAATATTACCAGTTCTTGTCTATCTTTGTTTTCTTCTTATTTCTCTAATCGTTTTTCTTCCGTTCTTAATAAATCTACTTCTAACTCTTCTACTCTTACTACCACTACTACTACTACTACTACTACTACTAC